CCTTGTTTCTCTCCTTCTCGTTGGCTAGCCTCCGGGTTTATTCCAACAGGGACAGATAGTGGGTCTACCTTTCCGTCTGTGCTGGCTTCGGTATTTAGTAGCGGCAATGATGGTGATTTGTCGCTGAAATCCAAATGAGATGGGACAAGTGGGACACGTGCAACATCTGGACTTACGGCAGCTGCTGAGTTTTTCCCCCCAGTGAGAGGTGTATACGACTTTGACGGAACTTTGGAATCAAACATTTCCAGTTGATGACCAGCTTCATAAAAGCTAGGACCAACTTCACTTGAGGTTTTTAACCTCATTCTCATCATGAACTGGCTTGCATGTGGTTCTTTCAGCCTCATCATAAACTTTTTAGGACCTTTCGTAGCCGATGTTAATTGTTCAAGGTCAATGATATCTAACCCTGCCATAAGATTACGAAAGACTTTTTTTTTTCCTTTTAACCATGGATAGCAGTTAAGGAATCTCTTCCCAAACCGATTCTCGTATGTTAACTTGAATTTGTCGAGATACAGGCAATTTCCCTCACAAGAACGTAAAATTTCGATAACATCTCGCTTCAGATTTGTTAAAGTTTCTGAGTCCTCATCGGCATCAAAACAAATGCCTTGGATTCGTGGACAATTTTGATCCAACTGTGCGTGAAAACTTTTGTTTTCCATTAAACTGGGAACGACTGGTATCGCTTGAGGAGTACTTCCGGTAAGTAGCATATGTTTGCTTTTCACTTCCTGATCCACTTGCTCAGCGTTGAAGGGTTCAGCCTTTGCAGGAGCTGTATTGGCGGTTGTTGTTAGACCAGACCCTTGATGAAAGAATACAACTACAATAAATTACATGATTATTACATAAAATATTTGGGTGATGATTGCAGAAACTGTTGTGGGTAAGCATGATACAATATTTCTGAGTGAGGTTCTTTTCGACCTTTTTTTTTTCAAAAAAAAGCCCTCTGTTTCAGCCAATCAGCATTCAGTAATTTTGCCCTCTATGTAATAGTTAAAGGATATTACACACTGGCGAGAAGATATATGACTTTCATGTTCAAGTTGAAAGAACAATAGTAATTATAGTAATTTTGACCAATATGCTAGAAATTGATGATTTTACATGGTGGATTTATGTTCAGATTCCAAGAGCAATATCCCACTCATTCAATTACCTCATTCATGAGATATTCTTCATGTCACAAGAACTAACATGTATTTTCCTTTTATTTTAAGGACAATGATAGAGATGAATTATCTGGCTTTAACACAAATACCGGGTTTGAATAGGGACAAAATACCCTGCCAATGCCCAAATTGTAAAAAAGGTTAACATACATGTATAACACCATCAGTTAGGCCAAAATACGTGTGAACTGTTTTTATAACTTTTCTGCAGTTGAAAAAAATTTTATTTACTGACTCTGACTTGAATCATCAGATACCATTCATTTTCAGCCTCTTTTCACTTTGAACCTTTGAATGTTGTTTAGCACACATAGAAAAAAAAATTAACCTTTCCAATCTATTTCTCTTGTTTTGTTGCAACTTTCAAGAAATTATTTGAAAATCTTGAGATCATACAGCATTTTCTTTTTGGTGTTTCTGCTCTCTTGTTGTTCAGAAAATCCATTTACATCTTTGTTACTCTCCAAAAAAAATTTTGTAGCCATTATTCCAAACAAGAAGCAAACCAAGTTCATTCAATAAAGTTTGAAAAAGCAGGAATGGTGACATTCCTACTCAATATAACCACTCGTGTTATGTATGAAAAATATGCCACTTGGTCTCCAGATGTTGTGGTTGTTTTGATTATAGGAGTGTTTTAGTTCCCAAAAAGACACTCTCTCCCACTTAGTAAATGTTAATATACAGATCCCTCATTATTTTCAAATGACCACACCTTCTGCTATTCTCAGAAACCTCAGTTACCTATCGTAATCAATATTGTCAGAAATTCTAAGAAATGTACCCTGTTTCCTCATAATATAAATTCCATATCTTTCACATACCTTCAGGTATATTGACTGCATGACTAGGACCTTGTATTAAAGATGTTGACAAAACCAAAGGAGGAGAAGCCTGGAAGGTAGTTGCAGGGGCTGGAGATTGAACTCTTGAATCCAAAACATTTTGATCCAAAGGAGCTGGCGGGACAGTAGGTACTCTGGAAATAATTGGGCCAGCAGCAACTGCCAAATCACCTGCTAGAGAGGCTGGTCTTAGTGATTTGGTTGGTTCTTTGGAATCAAATTCATCCTGCTGATACCCAAAATTAGAACAGGAATCAAGTTCTTCTGCTGTGTTCAAACTTGTTCTCTGCATGGACAGGTTTGCATGCAGTTCTTTCAGCTTTAATTGATATTTCTTCACACCTTTTTCACTGGTATGTTCTAATTTGATGATATCTAATTCTGATAAGAATTGCACCAGACCTTTTCCTTGGAACAGTACTCTGAAGGTACCATGGAATTTTCTTCTGAATGTTTGCCAATACTTATCAGGAAGTTCTGAGAGATACAAGCAATTTCCCTCACAAGACTTTAGTAAATTTACAATATCTTTCTTCAACATTGTCAACTTCTCAGGGAAATAACCACAATCAATTCCAATGTTTTGGGACATGAGCCCTTTCGTATTCTCTACACTCTCAGGATCTTTTTTCTTCAATGAACTGGGATTTTCTTCATTGTCAAAACCCATGTTCAGCATAAACTGGCTTGCATGTGGTTCTTTCAGCTTCATCAAATAGTTCCTGGCACCTTTTTCACCTTTATCTTCTATTTCAAGGATGTCTAACTCTCTTAAGAATTGTGAGAGACATTTTCCTTTCAACAGCACTTTGTGGGTGGTAAAAAACCCTTTTTGAAATGTTTTCCCATACTCTTCCTGAAGCTGGGAGAGATACAAGCAGTTCCTCTCACAGGACCTCAACATATCCACAATGTCTTTCTTCAATCTTATTAACTTTTCAGAGAGATCAATGGCATCAAGGCTGGTGTTTTGGCTCTGGAACGTTGGTGCCACAGTCTCTCTTCTTTTCACAAACTTTGGTCTCCTGGTCTCTCTTGTCTCCACATCAGTAGCACAACTATGCTCAGATCCAGCTATATTAAAACTCATATGCTGACTCACATGTTGTTCTTTAAGTTTTATGAGAGGTATTGAACCATTTTGGTCAAGTTCAATGATATCTAACTCAGCCATGAGATTGCAGAATTCCTTTCTTCCACCTGACAACCTATAACATTCATTGAATTTTTTTCCAAACCACTTGCGGTACCTGCTTTTAAACTGGGAGAGCTTTAAGCAGTTTCCCTCACATGAACTTAATATTTCAATGACCTCTCTCTTCAGTCTTGTTATGTGTTCAGGATTAAGATGAGTAATTTTGGTAAATTTGGCATCGAGGTCTTGATTTCCATACTCATCATCACCAGGCACAGCTTGCAACTCAGACATGTACAACAGCTTGTCATAACCAACAAGCAAAGAAGGGCCTCCACTTGCCTCTGCCTTTTTCTTTTGTTCTTCGAATTCCATCATTGTATTTAGTCAGTCATCCTTGTTTTTACTTCTGCGGTAGGTACTGGTATTCCCAGACTGAAAGCTTAAGGAAGAAAATGAAAGAATTTCTTGAAATAATTTTACTACCAATGATCGAATTTTCAAAGCAGTACATTAAACATGTATTAACAGTGTATTACACTATAGTTCTGCCTAAAAACTATGCAACCTTAAATCTTTCATCTTAAATTTAATTAAATGAGTTCATTCCCAGTTCTACACTACCTCTGTGTTCATAACTGACAACATGCTCTTCAGCTACATGTACATGCATGAGTTTTATCTCTCAATAAATAGTCGTAGGAAATAACTATAAATATCCACTGCCTCGGCGAGGCGCCACGCAAAAATCAAGAAATCAGTGCAAAATTAATGGCGTACCTGATTCTAAGGAGAATTGAAAATAACACGTCTCTAAATCAAATGAAAGTCACTTGAATGAAAGTAGTATTTCTTTGTCCTCGGTGTCGTCCACCAAAAGAAAAAAAGGTAACATTACGTTTCCGAGATTCTCACGTGCGATTCACGAGAAAGAGGGCTTTCTATTATTTCTTCGTTTTAGGGGAATATCATTAACCAATGATAACGATATTGTATCATTGATATCTCCTAGATCCTAGTCTTTTTCAACCGCAACCAGCCAAAGCCTGGAGCGACACCACTAAAACAAAATGGCTGCCTATGGCAGTTATCTGCGGAAGTAAAAATCTGCGGACGCAAGTGTTGAACTTTTGATAATTTAGGAAAGAAAAGTAAAACTCAGAAAAAAAAAATAAGTATAAGCTGAGAACTCACAAAATGGCAGATAGTGAAGATGAAGAAGCGCCTCCAGAGAGGGATGTTAAGGTATCTGTTTTACGACCGTACAACCTCCTTGTGCAAAATTTAGCTGTAGTTTGAAAGTAAAACATAGGTGGCATTGAAAACTTTCTTTTACTTCTTGAAAGTGCAAGTTACCTAAATTTAACTCCTAAAGTTTAAACTGACACAATACCTAAAATTAACAGTGCTACAAAATGTGAGCTGAAAAAATGTACTGTAAAAGCCAGGCTGACAAATTAAGCTCTACATGAATCTTAATTAATAGTGATTTACTCCCAACTTTTACTTTTTTATTCTAAACATTAAATCGTATGTCGAAGCGCAATAGTAATAATATAAACACCAATCGTAATTTAGCTGTCTCTCACTTTTAGTGAAGTACAGGTTCATCTTTTCAGGCGTTATAAAAATGATCTGTTTAGCTGTAATTCTCGGTGAACCATGGGGAGATTTTGTGAGTGGTTGTAGTCAGTGAACTCTTGCTGCTTGAGTATTCCGTGTCAACCTGTTTTTTGGGATGGAACTGAGATTCATGGCAATTAGACTCTCCAAACGATATGATTTATTAGTGTGTGACAGTTGAGGCTTCTATGAACATGCTATCAACTTTATTTAACACGTGTACCTAAATTCTTGTCTTAAATAGGATTTTAGCTTCAAACAAATGAGGAAAATAAGAATGTTTGAGTCACCAACAACTTTACCCACTGCTCGCTCAAGCTCGCTGGCTGTTTCCACCAAGTATGGGTTGACATTTGTTGGCTGCCCTACAGGTATTTTAAAACTATTGTGCATCTTAGAGGATGAACATCTTTAAATTATGTGTTGTTTCTTTCTTGGAATGTGTACTTATTGAGTTTTAAACAAAATGAGCCTAGCAACTCCTTATCACCCACGAGTGACCAAGACAGAATTTCTCCTCACAATAGGGAGGGTGGAGGAGTTTTGACTTGTTGCCTGAAGATCTTAATATTACTTTTTTTCTTTCGGAACTCAATTTTCTCTCCTCTTTGCTTTTGGTTATAAGAGTAATGTATTTATCAAGATCAAGACAAAAAGTGCGCCTTTACTTGTTTGTGTACCAAGGAGAGAATTGAATTAAAACAATTATATCAACTTTATTTTTTAATTTCTTTCTGATTACTATTGTGCTCTACATTATTTCAATTTTAAACTCAAGATTATATATCATACGGGACATTGTATCAATATTTATTGTAACAGGAACAAGAGTGATAAAAACTGAAACCATTGAAAGAATTAATGAATCTGATGAAGGAAGCATGCAGAATGTTGGTAAGTTGTTGAAATAACCCTTAGAACCACCACCCTACCCACCCTCTCAAAAAAAAACAAACAAAACTGCGTATGTGTTACCCTTAGCCTGTTTAAGATAAAACTCAAGGGGTCACTATGTTGTATTTTGGGGAAACCTACTTCCTTCAATGGTGGCTTAATTCTTTGGTGCATCAGTACCTCAATAGTTGTCCAGTTCTTTTCTCAAAAATTAGTACATTCAGAGCTAAGTTACAGCCGTATATCATTGCAAAATTGATGCAGCTTTGAATCAACAGGGATACTTTGAATGATCTTTTAAATTAAACTTGAATCTTGAATCTTGAATCTTAATAATTTTTATACAGAGGGCTATAAGCTGATGAGAAAAAAAAAACAGGAAGTTACCAAACTTGCACATTAGGGGAATTTTTGACATGCTTGAGTGTTGTTATGATGTCATCCTGCAGGGATCCATTTGTCTAACAGTGATAGGGTATTTTTTTTATTGTATCTTTCAGTGGCAACTTGCCCTTCAACCTTCAAAGAAATTGGTCATTCTGTACAGTTTGTGGGTCTTAGCAGTGATGATTTGACTCTGTCTGTCTGCTATGTGAATGGAAATCAAACTCTCTTGAATCTCTATGATGTTCCAACCCTTGGAAGTTCTGTATGTTGTACTGTTGCAGAATGATACTGTTTTGTGGCACAGTTTTGTCAATTGTTTGTTTTGTTTTGTTTTGTTTTACAATTATGATTTGTTTCATTTTACACTTCTCAATGTATCTGGCTCCCTTTGATAAACTTTTCGTCATTTCAGAACACATCAAATGCCAAGTTTGGTGACACAATTCTTACAAGTGATGCAGGTACACATTGTTTAGAACTAAGTTTCAAGTCTGCAAATAACAAGCTATCATCTTACAAATATTTGCCAACTTCTTGGTTGTAATGGTCAAATGTTTAAGGTGTCCAATACAATGTATTACAATAAAGGGTTTAACTTAGAGCATGGATCACTTTGCTTTTTGAATGAACAATACGATTACAGGTACAATTCCTGTAAAGCTCCAAGTGAAAACATGCTTTGTTGAACAATGCCATCTTCTTTTGAAAGCTTGCAAAATTACAACTTGTTGGTGTGAATTGGATTCTCAAATTTTGAGAGCCAACCAAGCAGCCTATTACAAGAAGTATATTATCCTGTGCTACTTCTTTCATATCTCAACTTATATGAAAAACTAGTATTGGTACAGGACGTACTGTAATTTTGAAAAAAAGACATTCATTGCTTATGAGAGGTTAACAATTTTTTTTCATCTAAGCAGATTTGCTTCTTTTCTGGTAAAACTATTTAGTAGCACAGCAAAAGACCTGATGCTTATTATTTACAGGCTTGAAGTTAACGAAGTTATTTTAAAAATTATGATTACTTCATAAATAGTCTTCTGACAATCTACGTCTAGTTGAGCATGATACAGATTATATTAAACATACCTACAATACCGCTCGCCTTTATGTTAAATGTGCAGACGAATTTAATACGCCTAGACGCAGGATAGTCAGACGCGCATATACGACTTTTTTGCGGGCACGGTTGAAAAAAATTCGCGACTCATGTGCCGTTGTTATTTGGTGCTGTAAGTTTCCTTTATAGTACATTGTTGTGTAAAACAAAGAACTTCTTGGTTTGAAAAATGCGACTAGTCGACAATGGGAAATTTACATAATGAAAAAAGCTATTATGTTACACTCACGCATGTCGCATTGCTTCGGGAATTTATCGACTAACGAGCAGTAGCAGTAGATTTGCTTGATTTGAGTTGTTGATGAATCAAGAGGGAAGGAAAATGTCTCTTACAGAAGACATCGAAACACTCGTACCATTAAGCGAGTAACGAAGCGAATACTCACTAATATGCTTCCCAATTTATTCATTGCAATCAGCGCCCCCAAGAATGTTTACGCATTGGGAATGTAAACAATTTGGTGTTCGCATTGCGCGTGCTTATTTCTTCGAAACTTCAAACTTACCTCGATCACCTTCGATGAGGAACAGAAGGTGAACATCGATCGATGATCTGACAAATAATGAAACAAGAAGCAAATTCGGTTTCGCATAAAAAATTTGCATACGAGTCCGAACAAGGCTTAGTCGTGACCAAACTGTAACACAACACCATTATCATAAGCACTTCTTAGTTTTTGTTTAAAAGGCGAGATGAATGAATCAGTTTTCGAGAACAGCATGTTCACCGATGATAAAAGCTATAAAATAAGCATTCATTCAGAACGCGACAACTGGTTACAAACGAGTGCTTTAGCTGATTCTACCGAAATACGATACACTGAGAATAAACAAATTGTATTAATTTATTGCATATTCTTTTTGTGAACTGAATAAATTTTTACATAACGTTATACATCATCATTAAAGTATATTTTGGTGTGAATGATGTGCTTCATTGCTTAGTTTCTAAGTTATCACATGTACTCATTTTGCACGTGATTTGCTGGGATGTTTTTGTCACGTTATTTACAATGTAACATGATACTATATATATCAAGGGAGACCAGTTAATAACTTGCATATTGTTAGTTGCAAAATAAAGTAATGTTTATTTGATAATTATTTCTTAAACAGGAGTAAGTGTCGCAAACCTTCTCTGGAACCCTGGTTTTCCTGGTATCTTTGCCATTTGTTTTAGTTCTGGAGCTGTGTCAATAATGGAGCTTACTGAAACTGAAATCAAAACACTGGCTTCTCTTCCAGGAAGTGTAAATGCCAATGCAAGTAGGTGTTATTAAGTCACTTAATTGCATTTTTTTCTTTTATACGAATTAAAGTCAATTATAAACAAGAAATGATTTGAGAATTTTTTTACTAGTTTGTTGGAGTCCAAAAGGAAAACAGCTTGTTGTTGGACACAGAGATGGCAGTTTAACACAGTATTCACAGGTACAGTAATTCAAACTAACTTTAAATCTTCATGTTAGTGCTTGGGGCAACTATAACTTGTATTTCAAATTTAGAACAAGATGTGGGCACTTTCAGGTAGTAATCAGAAAGAGTTTGCATGTCAAGAAACGGGGCTTATTTCATATTTCTTAACCAAAAATTTGGCTGGACCAATGATTGTTTTATGACATAGCATTTTTGAATTAACAACAATATGAACTTGTAGTAAAATGCAAAAGGTGGTCATGATTTTTAAATGGCATAATACCACTAGTTTGTAGTGGTCATTTTTTTTTTTGCAAACTTGGCCTTGCTTCTTATAAAACTGAAACCTGGATGGTATAAATACACAATACAGCACAAGGAGATATGGAAATTCCTAGTGAAAAAGGTACTCTAGTGAGGGGGGGAGGGGGGGTGGAATCATCATATTAGTTATTGTTATAAAAGGGCATGCTGGTGATAAACACAACCAAAACATGTATTTCATTTCTTGTCCATAAAGGTGGGTGGAGGAGCAAGGGGGTATTTTTTAAGTTTTGACCAGGAGGAACTGGATGCATGCTTTTTCACCAGGGACAATGATTTTGGGGTGGTACAACTTAGAGTATTTTTGGTATACTATGCTTGGGGAACTACATGTTTTTTAGCACTTTTGCTGATCTTCTCCTCAGATCTGTACCATTTGTAGCATTGATTGTGACATCCCTCACATCCATTTTGTGATGTCCCCCACTACCTTTTTAATTTAAAAATTCTAATCTTTAACTAAAAAAATTGATTTATTCATGTTATTTGGTAAAGAGTAAAGTAAGGTTTGTTTTCAAATCCTTGGGTGAAATTTAAATAATAAGGGAGAAGTGATATTACTCTTGAATATTGATTCCTAAGTTCACTGGGTTCAGTTTTGTAACATGTTCTTTATTATCTAAAATGATTCTCTTTAGGCTTTGGAAGTTAAAAAGGAAATAGAATGCCCTGAAATTTTTATTGACGATCCTCACTCAGGTATTGAAAATTGTAATCAGTGGCAATGTCTCCCTTCTTCCAAATAAGAATGGAAATGCAATAGCACATGTATATTGACACAACATCAACTCTTTCTACCCTATTTTGATGTAAATTACCTTTGCTTCACAAATAATCTTTGCAAGCTGTTCATTGATTCAATTATTTCAATCCACTTTCTTTTGCTAAATAGTTAAATTGTGTACAGTACATACGGGTATAAACCAACATCCATTTATTGCAATACTTACACTGTAGTCTTGTAAATTAGTGAAGTCACTTATATACTGTATTTCTTGACTGACTGACTGATTGATTTATCATTTGATTCATTCTTCCAATGTTTAACTTTGTTGACAAATTACTTCATGTGATATTTAGTGACAGATGTGCTGTGGATTACTGCAACATTGTTTGCTGTTGTTTACTCCAGCTTTGAGGAAGGGGATGCTCCACAGTTTCTGCTTATTTCCACTCCTGTAAGTTTAAATGTTATTTAGTATATGTTTTGGATCAAACATTTTCTCGGTTCAACTTTTCGAAAGTAGTACAGATCAGTTTGATTCTTATTTACTTATCTTGTATTTGTTATAATCATAATCTGAAACACAGGAAAATACAAATCAGGGTAATTTGAAAATTTTCACACCAAGAAAAATTCCAACCTTGACATATTCAAGGACAAACCATGTACCTTTGTATGTAGCTTGAAAATTTTGAGGGTTTTTTTATTTTAGCAAATTTTGTGTACAGTTATGAATCAAAAAAAAATATCGGTAAAGAAAAGGCCACATTTACTTACTATTTAGGACAAAATGAAAGTCTCTACATGCAAAGCAGTGTCAATTCATGTTCTTTTTATTTTGAGTGACATGGAATACCCATCAGGCTACAAATTTGTTTACCATGTAGACTGCACACATGCACAGCTCCTGCTTATTAACTTGACTAGCTAAAATTTTTGAAAATAGTTGCTTTTCCTCTTTCTTTATGTTCTGTAACAAGAAACCACAAAAATAATTTCCCACCAGAAACCTTAACTCTTCTTGAACGGCAAAATTTGTTTCCCCTGATGTGGAAAACATGGCCTTTAGGCAAAATAAACTGAGCAAAATATTTGTGCTTTGCAGTCTAAAGATGGTTTGAGCAAAAAAGATATATTTGGTACTATTGAACAGTGACAGAAGTTGAGCTCTATTTTTCCTCTTTTTTCTCTTAGAGAGATGAACCAAAGAAAATAATAAACTTTGATGATATCTACTATGTGATGAGCGAGGAACGGCAACCCATGTTTTACTTAAAACTCATTACTGAATGGTAAGAATAGTCTAAGAGAATTTTAGCAGAGCTCAACATAGCCCCATAATGATACAAAATTGTAGTAACCCATCAAGCTGAAAAAATTTGGACTTGACACTGTACGGGCATCCATACTAGGTGCTACTTTTAACATGCGTGGTCAACTGTACTGCGGGCACGCCAACGCCACAGCTTTGTCCAGTAGTCCAGTGGTCAGTGCACTGGGCTCCGAGTCAAATGACCCAGGTTCTAGTCCTGGCTGGGGCAAGGCGTTGTGTCCTTGAGACATGTGGGAAAAAAAATGTGAGCTGCACTTTTAGGCTTGGCTAAATCTATATATTATGAATTTCTGACTAATTTAAATGGACCATACAAAATTCATCTAGTGGCAATTAAAGAACTATTCAACTAAACCCTATGTTGTTTTCTTAGTAATATTTATTGGGTTTTAATCACAAAATTGGACATTTCAAAGCAAAATCTTGACAAATTGCCATTAATACACCTTGTCAAAAATATTAGAGGACAGGTGCTATAAAGGTACCCATAGAAACATACTGTAGAAGGGCCCCTGGACACACCACATAACATTGACAATTATCCTGTTACATGACTTTCTTTTCATTATGCTTAAATTGCATTTATAGCTGTAGCTTGTCATTGGTATTGAATAGTCCATTTAGTTGCCCTTATGGTAGTGAGAGATTAATTTTAGTATAGTAACCTCGTTAGCAACACAGAGAGCACCTTAGAAACCAAACCACTGCCTAAGCAACAAATACTGTAGGTTGTTTCACTTCAATAAAGTAACACTCTAACTGTGTAGATACTTCTGTTTTAGGAATATTTTGATTTCAGCATGTTCCAATGGGTTTGAAGCTGCTGTACTTGGGAAGTATGGAGGAGAGGTATGATGTTGTTTTATTGAATTCCTTGATGCGTAACTTTCGTTTTGCATGTTGAATTTTCAAAATGGACTTGCATAGCTCAAAAATATGAATTGATGCAGTAGCTCCCTTGAAATTTATTTGTTTATGACATGTTTAATTAATTTCCATTGCTTGAGCCCGCTCTAAGATTTATGTGCTGCTACTGTAAAAATAAAGATATTCTTTTGGCCTTCCATTTTTCAGGTATATTTGTAACCTAGACAAATAATCAAACTCTATCAAAAATTAGTAAATAATGATATTCTCTGGTTAAAGAAGAGATAAAATGTGGAATTGATACTCTTGAAAATGACAATTCTGAAGGGCCATTGCATCACACAGTCTCCTGATTTAGCGTAGTTGTATGTTGTCCCTCAAAGAATATTTTTTAAGTATTGTGAAACTGCACTGTTGATACTTCCTTGCTTTCCTTGTATTTGAACAGGCTTCTACTCCTTGGGAAAAGTGGAATGTTGAAGAAAATGGTCGTGCAGAAATGCCTTTGACTAACAACAATGATGAAACATTTCCTATGGGATTGGCATTTGATTTAAGATCAACCAAGCCCATTTTAGAAGGAGAAAAAAAGCTTCCCCCAGCCCCAATCATGATGCTTCTATCAACAGATGGTGTCCTGTGCCCATATTATGTTGTTAATCAAACCCCTAATGTAGATCAAGGTATAATTAGAGTTCCAGAACCTTTACCACTCGGAGGACAAAGAAAGGCCATAGCATCAAAAGCAGGTGATGAATTGTACTTCGGAATTCCTTCCTATAAAGCATTTTAAAAATGTGTAGATTTTGCAACCCAAACCTTTCTTTTTTTTTCTGTGAATGTACTTTCAACTCAGTAATCTTTTGAACATTGTAAATAAACAGGAGACTTCATTTCCAATGTTATTTTTACAAGTTCCAACATTAATGACTGATTCAATCAAGGGCCTTTGTCATTTACCACTCCGGGGATATTATTCTTTTCTTATTATCAGGTTCTGTTCCTAAAGGGAATGTTTTGCCAACCTTTGGTGCTGCTAGAGACCTCCCTACTGGTGTTTTCTCACAGACCACAACATCTGGCTATTTCTCTCCAGCTGGTACCTCTTCATTTGCAAGCTCTAAGCAAACCACTACTTTGGCATCTGGAACTCCCTTGTCAGGCAAATCAGGGAACTTTCCAAGTGGTACCTTTTCATTTGCAGGCCCCAAAGAAAGCACTTCTTTGACATCTGGAACTTCCTTGTCAGGCAAATCAGGGAACCTTCCAACTGGTACCTCTTTATTTGCAAGCTCCAAGCAAACCACTCCTTTGGCATCTGGAACTCCCTTGTCAGGCAAATCAGGGAACCTTCCAAGTGGTACCTCTTCATTTGCAAGCTCCAAGCAAATCACTCCTTTGGCACCTGGAACACCATTGTCAGGCAAATCAGTCGACCTTCCAAGTGGTACCTTTTCATTTGCAGGCCCTGAAGAAACCACTCCTTTGACATCTAGAACTCCCTTGTCAAGCAAATCAGGGAACCTTCCAACTGATACCTTTTCATTTGCAAGCCCTAAAGAAACCACTCCTTTGATATCTGGAACTTCAGGGAATCTTCAGTCTGGTACCTTTTCATTACCAGGCTCAACGCTAACTGTTCCTTCGACAGCTGGAACTTCTTCCTCAGGTACATCTGGGAACCCTTCAGCCGGTGCATTTTCATTTTCAAGTGATAAGCAGTCAGGGCCAATACCCTTTAAACCTACTGCACAAGTGCAAGCCACAGAATCAGGGATGCCCTCAAGGAGTAGGCCTCCTCTTGTGAAACCCACTCCTATCACTCAATTGCAGCCAGATAGTCAAGTAAAGACATCTTTTCAACCAGCACCAACTACTGCTGCAACCTCCATAAAGGCACCCTCTCAACCTCAGGTATTACACAATTTAACTTTACAGTAGAAGATTGGCATCAATAAAACTCATTAACTTACAGCCTTGTGCCGTTACGAGGCCCCTTAGCGCAGTGTTATGTCAATTTCAATTGAGTAAAAACTACTTAATCATTGAAAAATTAGTTCCTTAATTTTTTTCCATACCTTGCTTGATTCATAAATGCAACCACAATATTTTCAGAGGTTTCTTAGCTTGGGAGATCACCAAAAATTTTTTTAGGGCAATGGCACAAAGAGCTGAAATGAATGGTGCTTCTTACAGGATTTAGCCTTGCTATGCTGATTTTTAAAACGATGATCAGAATTTGCGATAACTCAATATTTGTTCAAATTATTTTTTAGGAAGCCAAAAAGAATTGTATTATAAATCTGTCAAGAGATTGGGCCACATCGAACTTTCAATACTGCGTATGTACACTGTTGATTCCTTTGATAAAGGAAGTCACACTGAAATATATAATTAAGGTTTAGAACAAAAGACAATCTGCTCTGTTCCCTCTCAGGTTGCAGGACTAAGCTTGCCATCAACACCGAAGCTAACATCTGCTAAACAACCAGCTGGGCATGTAACAAAGGAAGATCAGCCCAGTCCTTTTACTTCAAGACAGGAGCAGAGGATTGAGAGAAGCTTAAGTTTTACTGCAAATTCTCCTTCACAGAGCTTAAAATTACTTGGGCAATCAAATGCCAGAGAAAGTGCAAAACAGGAACGCACCAAAAAGGTAATTTATTTTTCTCAATTTTATTGTTTGGAAGAGATCTCTGTTTGTGTTAGAATCCCAACTCTGGTCAGTTCCAGATTTTCATATGGATTGTCTGAGTTACAGATATCTCATCTGTCAGCTAGGTCCTCCATATACAGCAAATGTGTTGGAGTCCGTCCTACACTTTTTGTCACAAAGGAACTTCATACTGCTATAATAAGCGCTGTTATGAGAATTTTGATTGGAGACTCACACGTCACACGTTAGTTGGTGGCTTTTGTAAGTTCGAAATGATTGAATGAATTGTTTTCAATTTGTTATAAACATTTTGCAAACAAGTTCCAATTGACTGGTCGGTTCTACGTAATACTATATGCAAAGTGTGATTCAATTTACCTCTAATTTGATGTAATCCTTACTTTTTCTTAGGTTGCTCCAGTTGCAAAAGAAAAAACAATGGAAGCATCTGTGTCAGAGACTATCCATGAAACAGTAATGTCTTGATTACTATGGCTGGAAACTTCAATTATCTTTGTAATTTGACCGCTATCGTTGAGAGAATATCGTGGGTATTTAGCTCTCGGATATGCCCCGAGACCGCAATGGAAGGAAAGCAAAAATGTTTTTACCTCCAAATATAATTAAATTAGTTTTTTTTTTCCCGTTGTTGTATTTACCGACTGACTGTCTTTAAAAATACCCTGACTTTCCTTTATGATAATTTTATAACTCTTACGTGACATGATAATACTTTCCTTTCATTTAATTTCTGTAATGATTAACATTTTATAGATTAGCCTCTTTAACGAAGAAATGGCAAAATTGGGAAGTAGTGTAAAGAGCATGCAAAGGAAGTGTCGTCTTACTGACGATGATAAGGAGCTGGCTTCATTCAGGAGGGCAACCGATGAAGTTGGTCGAAATCTCAAAGACATCAAATTGGCCACAAAGGTTTGTACTTTAGTTAACCCCATGATTCTGTAGAGTGATCAGCAGCTAAATTTTCTGTCCTTTTTTTATAATCTGTTGAGCAGACCTGAAGACAAACAGGTAGATACAGGTCAAACCACTTCTTTGTGTTAGTTCTTTTTTTTTTTGTAATTTGTTGTTGTTGTTTTTTTTAATTTCTTCTCAATTGCAGTACCCAAGTAAATCTGTGTCATCATCCTCATAGTAAAATAACCTGTATATTCGGAAAGGTTGTTGATAGTATGGTAGTTAACTCTAGTATTGCTTGAATTGTTAACATTCGTGTTACGATGCTGTCACTTGTGATATAATCTATGTAGATAACGATGTTTCGACTGCATATTGCTTCTGCAATAGGCAGTGTGTTTGACTTCAACTATGTTTGCGTCAACGTGAAGCCAGGCTTGCTGCGCGAAATACGCCCGTTATGCTTTAGCCGAAAACTAACCAATCACAGTGGAGGATCAGGCCTCAAGGTTTACTCGTAGCCAATAAACTTTTTAGCCAGATAAAGACAGCAAAAATCGTGCCGTCGAAACCAGACTCAGTCCTACCATTATTAACACTACAGGATCAACAAAATGACATTGACGAGGAGAAAAGAAAACTATTTGAAGCATTTGAAATGCTTGAAGATATCAGGTGCGTGCGTATCAGATGCAATTTTTGTTGGAGTTCATTAGATTTCAAAGCTAAAAAGTTCCCGTTCCCTTTTTGTTGCTGTTTTTCGGTGAGGGTGTCTGTTTGTTTATTATTTTTTGCTTTTTTTCTAATTTCCTACTTTCTTTAATTGTATGATGTGGTTTCTTTTCTTAAAGAAATTAGATGACTAGAAGATCTAGTGATGTAATGATCGTTGTAAACATTAGCTTCGTTTTGTGGAGGCAGTTGATAACAGAATGTATCATCACAATTATAACTGCAACACGCACATTTTTTATACATTAGGATTAGACAGGATAAGAAGAGCGATGCAAGGTATATTCAATTGCTTAAGGTATGAGTAGAACTGATGATTATATCGTACTTGTATGAGTAAAATCAAACGGAAAACATATTACATGATTGATTATGTATATTCGCTTTCATGCACTTGTTCTGAACGCAGCTTTTGACTTAAAAAAGCTCCCTCTAACAAGCAATACTCTCTTTTACCGTCGTTCGAGGAGGAAGAATAGATATGCTCGTCAGTTAACCCGACCGAGAGATGGAATACTGAGATTTCAAGCACCTTCCTTATGAACTTTTTTGGCGGCATGTCATTCAAACATTTGTAGTCTCGTATAGATGATAAACACAGTGGCCTTGATTTTGCTTGAAAACATCTTTATGTGTTTGTCCTTGGACATACGTCATATAATTATCTGTTCCTCGAAGCTTATCTGACGTTGTCGGAACAAGGGATGTCCGTTGACAAATACACCGTGTGAAAGAATATTTGTGCGCCATTAAGGGAATGTTATTTTTGTTCGATAGTCAAGAGCTCTGGATCCTTTGAATACAAAGAAGATGAAAGAAATCAGAAAGCTTCATCTCTATCTTGATAAAACACTCAGGTGCGAGTTAATTCATGTTTTTTTTTAATCAACACTTAAGTGTATTCTTTATTAGTGAATGTACTGTGACTATGCCACGGCCAAAGCGTAGTTACACACGTATTGAGGACAGTCAAACCTGTATTAAGCGGGACTGTGTTAAAAGGTCAACCTGGTTCAACGGCCTTTTTGTGTTCTTTTGCTACTGTATCGAATGGTCCTTTGAAGCGGAACCACTCAATTAAAACTAAGAGTAATCTTTCCCATAAAATTTAATCCACTTTCATCTCCCGAAATCAAGGTTAGTAGTATTTTTGAGCGAGTTTTAGTACATTAAGTGGTAAATTAGGACATAACATGAAGCTTTTTATCGTTTTTTTAAATACCCAATTCTGTGGAACCTGTATTAAGCGGTCACCCGCCGTTCCCCCGTGGGTGACCGCCTGATAGAGGTTTGACTATAGATGGCTTCTCGATTAAGTGTCGTAAAACTAAAACCAAAGTAATCATAACTCCAAATCAGAGATGGGTAAGGAAATTATCTCAGTGAGTCATGAGGACCCAAAGCGCGGGAAAACGCGAGAGAGCAAATGGTGATTGCTTTTACTTTTGTATCTGATTGGTCGAGAGGGGTGGCGCGAGTTTGCTAAACAAACCACAGAGCCAAGTAAAGAAGGACCGATGCAATCTCGGAATTTCTCTCGACAATCATTTGAAAATTGTCGTATTGAGGTAATAATGTCATTCACCCGGTCTTCACCAAAGTTTTAATCATTTTAGCCACCTTCATTTTGGATTTCTCCATCCACTCCGTTCACGTATGTACTGATCAAGTATTGAGTTAGTACAAATACATGTATTTTATTTAACCTACTGTTTTCTTAGAGACGTTATCATGGTTCTTGACGAACAGTGGAACAAAGAGAATGAACAGAAAAGGTAAGCACGAGGAAGACAGCAGTGCATTACGGCTTAGTTGAAGTATCTTAGGCTCATCTTTAATTTTTGCCTAGTCTCCCTATTTAGTCCTTTTATCGGAACTTCTTAACAAGACAGCTCCCCTTTGCAGCAGAAGGCGGC